CAGTTTTATAATTCCGACAATATTTTGAAATTTTTTATTGGCGCCGACCGTACGCAAACATCTATCGCCACAAATTACGCGCAATTGCGGACTTTCCTATTTTTTCACTTTTTCTTTCTTTTTTTTGTTCTAGCTTTTGCTCTAAAAATACTGACTTTCACAAATAATAAAATAGTTTTAAATTTAGATGGCTACTGATGCGCTCTACCACGAAGTCGCCGAAATTATTCGCTGCGTTTTGGCCAAGGAAAAAAGCGTTAGAAATGCAGTCTACGGAAGCTCGTACAAAGTTAGTTTTAACAACATTTTTCGAATTTTGACCCAAAAGTCACCGATATTTGTGGAAGTCAGAGTTTTTATGAGTTTTTTTCATATTTTTTCTGTTTTCTTATGCTTTTTCATTCTCGTTCTCTTAATTTTCGCATCCTCAATTCTGAAATATATCAGGTAATAATAAAAAATGAAAGACGAGCCAATTATGGGTTGTGCTGAAGAGAATCCTGAGGAAAAACCGAAGTGCAACCCCTTTGGAACTCGATTCCTCACTGACGACGCCAAAGTTTTCGAGCACAACGCCTGGGATGACGTGGAATGGTCCGAGGAGCAGCAGGAAGAAGCGAAACGGATTGTAGAGAATCAGCAGTCGATGAAGGTTGACGAGGAGAAGGCAATGCGTCTTTTAAGCGCCCCTGCTGACCAGTGGGATGCGTTCTATGCGCATAATGAGAATCGATTCTTCAAAGATCGGAATTGGTTGCTGAAGGAGTTTCCAGAGCTCGATGTTAATGAAGCTTGTAATTCAGAGGTACAGTGTCACAAATATATAAAAAATGCGTTTTTCAGTTGCTTTTGACTATTTTCAGGAGTCTAGTTCTAAGCTCTTGGCATTTTAGTACAAAAACGGAAGGCGCTTTTCAGAAATCGGCAAATAGCTGAAAAATTTGGAATTTTCCAAAAATTCTGTGAATGCAAAGTTTTCAATCTAGGTCTGTTTTAGGTCCTCCAAAATTTTCAAAGTGATCCAACACTTGACAGCCGAGCACCTGAAAACCCTGAAAATCACCTAATTATCAGAAATCGTATCGAAAAACTGAAAAATTATCAGAAAGAAGAAAACCTGAAAGACACCTGAAAATGGTCGAAATCAACTGAAAAACGCATTTTTCATATATTTTAGGCTGGAACTGTAACTAAATTCTGAATTTTAGAAAGAAACAGTGAAGATCCTGGAAGTTGGGTGTGGAGTTGGAAATACTACGTTTCCCCTCATGCAAGTCAACAATTCATCTTCCCGATTATTCCTACACAGCTGTGACTATGCTCCAAATGCAATCCGAGTTCTGAAATCTCAAGAAGCCTACGACCCGGAAAAGATGAACGCCTTCGTTTGGGACATCACTCAACCCACTCCACAAGAAGCGCCTGCTCCAGAATCCCTAGATTACATCGTCTGTATCTACGTTTTGTCTGCAATCCATCCAGATAAAATTCGAAAAGCACTGAGCAACCTGATGTCACTTTTGAAGCCAGGAGGAACTCTTCTTCTTAAGGACTACGGTAGATACGATTTGACACAATTGAGATTCAAAAAAGATCGACTAATCGAGGGGAATTTGTATTGCCGGGGAGACGGAACACTGGTGTATTTCTTTGAGATGGAAGAGTTGGAGGCGTTGTTAGGAGAGTTTGGAATGAAAAAAAAAGTGATGCATGTGGACAGAAGGCTCATTGTCAATCGTGCGAAGCAAGTCAAAATGTATCGGCAGTGGATTCAGGGGAAATTTTTGAAGCCAGTCGAACTTTGAAGCCGGAGGAGGATTGATAATTTTTCTTGTTGTTGTGCTTGTTTGTTCTTCAAATTTAATAAACTTGTAATCTTCAAATTCAAGTTATTAATTCAGTCTAGCTGGAAATTTTCAGCTCATTTGGTGTTTGCGTACTTTTGGAGCTACAGTAACCCGGAACATTTCTAAATAATTAGGTTTTCACCGATTTTTGAAATTTTTGGCAGTTTTCAGTGTTCAATTTGAATCTCTCGCTGTCAATTTAGTCTGGCTGGAAAATTTCAGCAAATTTGAAGCTATTCGGTGTGTGCATACTTTTGGTGCTACAGTAACCCACAAAAATTTCAAAATTGAGCTCGAAACTTGTAGTTTTTAGCTACTGGGACAGTTTCAGGTGGGGAATTCGAATCCAAGCTTAGGATTGCTGATTTCTCACAAAGAGGCCTAAAACAAGCCCACACGCCTATAATTTCGATTTTTCAGGCCCAATGTCTGAAAATTCTAGCTTTCTTTTCTAAAAATATTTTTTTCAGAACAAAAAAGCGCTGCTTCGATTGTCGTGCGAATCGCTGAAATTCCGTCCAGTTTTCGATGAAATCCTCAAAGATAAAGAGCTCAGAAAAATGAAAAATGACCCGAACATCAATGGATCCGTGGATTTGCTCTATGTACTGATGTATGAGACATTGGTCGGATCTGGATTGAATCGATGCTCACAAGAAATGAAATCTGTGATTTCGAGAAGAGCAACGAGGATGAAAGAGGTGGAAAAAGAGCTGGGAGCGGATGGAAGAGGAATCAAATCGATTAAAGAAGCGGAAGAAGGAGCAAAGAAGATTGTGATTCCGAGATATGCTAGAATTAATACGCTGAAATGGACAGTTGAAGAGGCTCTGAAGACGCTGGAAACTGAGGAATGGAAGATTCTAGGGACAGCCAGTGTTGAGAAATTTCCGGAATTAGTGGCAAATATGAAAGAGGATGAGATTTACAAAGATCCACATGTTGAGAACTTGCTCATTTTCGCTCCGAATATTCAGAATTTCCACGAATACTGGATGGTGGAGCAAAGATATTTGATCCTTCAAGATAAGGCGTCTTGTCTGCCAGCCTTTCTTCTCAACCCTCGTCCAGGATCTCAAGTTTTCGACACTTGCGCGGCGCCTGGAATGAAAACTAGTCATGCTGCAGCTATTATGGATAATCAAGGAAAAGTCTGGGCGATGGATCGTGCTGCGGATCGTGTGGCTACTATGAAGCAGCTGTTGGATGGATCAAAAGTCGCAATTGCCAGCGCGTTCTGTGGAGATTTCTTGAAAACTGATGTGACCGATAAGAAGTTCTCGAAGGTTTCAAACCCCTGTTTTCTCTCAAAAATTCTAATTTTTCAGGTAAAATTTGCTATCGTTGATCCGCCTTGTTCTGGATCTGGAATTGTGAAGCGCATGGACGAGATTACTGGTGGGAATGCGGAGAAGGAGCGGCTAGAGAAGCTGAAAAATTTGCAGGTAAAAAGACATGAAGGCCTAAATTTGGAGTTTTTTGATAAATTATCTCGCGATTTTGTGTTTTTTTGGGTTAAGCAAACACGAGAAATACACTGGTGTTGAAATGCGAGCTGAAAACCGTTTAGTTTTCGGAATATTCAAGTCGCAAATTGAAAAACGCTAAAAAGGGTAAAAATCAGTTTTTTTTTTCTGAAATATGTTGATTTCATACTAATTATCCATTTCTAATTAGCATAATCTCACATTTTCTTCCAAAAATATGCATTTATTTCCGAGTTACAGTTTTTTTTTGCTCACTTCCCTACATTTTCCCCGCAAAAAAGAGACCGTACAAATCGGGAGGATTTCTCGGCCGGAGGAAAACGAAACGGGAGAAAACGAAACGGGAGGAACGGAAGCGGGCAGGATTTTAAAGGCGGGGCAAGAGAGTCCTTTCGTGTTTTTCTGAACTTTCTGAGCGAGACCCCGCCCTTTCGCAACCTTCCGCATGCTTTTTTTTGCAAAAATGCTGCACGCTTCCGTTCCTCCCGTTTCGTTTCCTTCGCTTTCGTTTTCTTCCGATTCGTTTCCTCCCGTTTCGTTTTCCTCCGGTCGAGAAATCCTTCCGATTTGTACGGTCTCGCAAAAAATGCGCGCGCCGCGGAAAAGTGGGCGGGGCGAAGTTGGCGAGCAAGACTGCCGCGCGGAAAATCTGCGATTTTTTTTCCGGCAATTTTCGGGTTTCCGAATGCTAAAAATACAGGAAAAACATTGGATTGCAGACAAAACAACATAAATTCGAAAAAAATGGCAGCAGACTACAAACTACATTTTCAGGCAATGATCCTCAAACACGCCCTAAAACTCCCGGGATTGAAACGGGCGGTCTACTCAACTTGCTCAATTCATGAAGAGGAAAACGAGCAAGTCGTTGATGAAGTGCTTCTGGATACCTATGTTCGACAGAATTTCGTTCTGAAGAAAGACGTGCTTCCCGAATGGACGCATCGTGGGTTGAGCACTTATGAAGTCGGAGAGCACTGTCTTCGAGCCGACCCAAAAGTCACACTCACCAATGGATTTTTTGTGGCTGTGTTTGAAAGGGTTAAGAAGGACCAGGAAGGAGAAGAATGATCTTGTTGGGCACTAATTGTTTTTGTTATTGTTGTTGTTTTTTGTTGAGTTATCGAAATAATGACTTTAATTCCGAAAAGCCAGATCAAAAAATATTGGGGGAAATTGAGATAACTTTGAAAAGAGGGAAGGAACAACCGAAAACAGATGATACAGTTGGTATGGGAAGAAGGATTAATAAATAGGAATTTTAAATAGCAATTGTTTGATGATCAGAAAAAAGTGGAATTTTGAAACCAAACAGGAAAAGAAAAAGAAAATAAAATGAAAAGTGAACCGAATAAAATTATCTCCATGAAGAGTTGCCTTGATATCCTCCTCCGCCTCTTCCGCGACCTCCACGATACGGTGGTCGTTGGTATCCTGTAGGTCCATTTCCACGTCCTCCCCTGTGATATCCACCACCACGACGATTGTCTTGATATGGCTGCTGGTCATGTGGTCTGCCGTGTCCACCTCCGGGCTGGTGCTCGTGATAATGTTGAGGACCTCCGCCTGAAAATTAACCGATCGCCGTTGAACATTAATTTGAAGAGTTCTTATATTCTTCGAAACCCATTCTGGAGGGCCTTTATTACATTACAGGGGCCCTTTTAATAGAGCTCTTAATGGTGGGGGGACATGAAAAAAATAATGTTCTCGAAATTCCGTTCAAAGATGCCCCTCGAGGAGTTGAACTTGTGAGGGCGATGATTGAGGGTGCGGCGCCGCTACCGACTGAGCCACGCGGGCAGAGAGAAAGCGCACGCCTGATTGCATACATAAAGGCGAGGACGACAGCTGTACGCAGAGTGACATTAAGCGTTGTACACAGTGACGGTAGAATGCATACTCTAGCTACAAAAAAACTACGGAAAATCTCCTGTCCCCCCACCTTTAAGGTAACTTATGGCTTCTTACCTTCTCTTCCTGCATAATTTCTACCGAAATCAGGCCTGCTATCGTTGTATCCCCCACGATAACCACCACCTCCTCTTCCACCTCTTCTATCGTCATATCCTCCTTGATACCCTCCACGATAACCTCCTCTGTAGTTGTCGTTGCCACCTTGACGATCGTACATAGCACCTCTGACATGATGATTGATGTGACGTTGACCGGACAGATCAAGACCGCCACGTGGAGCATTCCGGTTGAATCCAATCGTTGGGTTGAAACGACCATCACGTCGCTCATTCCAGTCTTCTGGTCTTAACGTCTTCTCGGCTTCCTTAGCACCGTCGAGACGGACAGCTGGGAAAACGTAGTTGGCCGGGTATTCGGGATCCTCGTAGAGAACGCAGATTCCACAGTTCGTCGGCAAGTCTTGGCACTCTTCGTGGCTGACTGGAGATGGGAATGGAAGTCCTGGAGCAGTGGCCGTCGAATCGTAGGAGATCTTTCCGCTGACTCCGTTGAGAAGCGATGGATCTAAGTCTACGAGATCATTGGATTTCGATTCGGCGACTTGTTGGAAGAAAGCGAAGGATTTGTGATTTCTTCCGATGAAAATACGGTTAGGACCGCGTGTGTTTCTATACTTTTCCTCATCAGTCAACGTTGGATACACCGATTTGAGAGTCTCCAGAAGACGTTGTTCATCGACGAATGGGAGTAGAGCAACTCCCTGCCACGCATACTTCTTCCCATTTAGATCAATACGGAAGTCTGCTGGATAGAGATCAATGATTGGGGATTCATCTTCAGTCATGAGCTTTTGCCATTCGACTGGTAGATGTTGTCTGAAAAGTTTTGAATATTAAAAAAAGCAATAATTAAAATGAAGATACTGACTTGGAAGCGGCTGGAAAGACACTCATAAGTTGCTCCAGAGGGTTGAATGGCTTTGTTGGCCTTGTGAAGTCTGGTTTGAACTCTCCGACGGTCTCGAAGTCACTTGCGAATGGAGCATAGTGATACGGGAAGTACCAATCCCAGCTGGAACATCCTTGGTAATAATATCTCAGCACCCAGCAAAGCCCTTCAACGTAAGCCCAGGCGACACGATGTCGGAAATCCACGTCATCAGATCCTACATCGAATTTCGCTCGATAATAACGTTCCTTCCATCCTGACTCGTAGAGACGGATGTCATCCTTCGGCTCTTCATCCTCATCAGTTATGATTATTGGTTGCTCAGCCTTACGCTTCCTCGATTCTTGTGCAGCAACTTCTGCCGGTGACTGCTCTCCTTTCACATTCAATAACGCCTTGAGATTTGCTGCGGCTTGAGCGTTGGCGTCGTTGGTAGCGTTGAACTGCATGGCAGCTTGTCTCGCATCTGAAGCCATTTGTCTCGTTGATTCTCCAGAATGATGCATTGGAGCGGACATTGGAGCGAGGATTCCATGCGATGGTACATAGGCTGGCTGTCCGCGACCACGACCGCGACCTCCTCTGCCTCTGGAAATGACTTTTCAGAAGGTTATTATTTAAAAATAATCCTACCTTCCATACTGCTGCATTCTTGCCTTCTTGTTCTTCTGATTCTCTTTGAATCTCTCTTCGTCTTGCTGCCGTCGTTTGAAAATCTCATCTTCAACTTTTCCTAATCCTCTCATGATCATCTCAACTCTATCCAACTCTGGGATTCCGTCTTTTGTCAAATAACCCTTCATTTCGTAAACCATTTCCTTGTAAAGCTTAATTAGACGGTCAATGGCTCCTTCACGAATTTCAAGAGATGGGAGATGAGGCAGGAAATCGTTTCCAACGAAGAAACAAAGAAAAACCCAATCATCGAGAGCTCTCTCGAGATTAAACTGGAATGGCAGATTTGGCATGGCCATCTCTTTTTCAAGATACTCTCGAAGCACTGGGATTCTCAGGAAGATGAAGTTTTTCTCTCGTTGCTCTGGTTTGCAATACTCGTCGCCGAGGTCTGTATCATTCTCAGCACCTCTACACTCTTTGAGCTCATGACCATACTGTCCGCATAGCTCACAGGCTCGTGGTTGATTCGGCACAAACTCCTCTCGGATGATATTGAAATTAGCCTCATGGGTAGCAATTCCAAGCATGATAAGATCGGCATCAGCTCCACAAAGACAGTGAACAGTGTTCGGGTCGTGAGCTGGATTTCCACGTTGCTTTCTGATGTAATCCATGATCTTGTGCTCTCCTTCTCCTGGAACGTTGGCGTCGGAGAGGATAATCTGTAATATAAAGTTTCGAGTGGCAATAAATTGAAAGAAATAACCTCAATGTTAGCCCAAGCTGGGTCATTGGTGACTCTGTCATGAATATAATAACGGAGAGCATCAGCTAGTCTGGCCATGAATGGAGTTCCTGGGGTAATACAGTTACTATCGAAGTGAGCTTCTTCTTCATCTTTTTTCTTTTGAGGAACGGCAATTCCTTCTGCGATGAGACGGCGTCTCTGCTCTTCGATACTTGCTGCCTTCTCGGCCATTTCTTTACTGGCACGGAAACGACGACTACGCTGTTGATTCATTTTTGCGCGAGGAGCAACTCCATCGATTGCCATGTAGAGAAGCTGAAAAGTATTCACTGCAATATCTTCTGAGAAATTCTAACTCACTCTTCTCGGTCTGACAATTGAGAAGATACGATCGATGTACTCGAAAATGAGTGCAAACATTTCGTCTTCATTTTTCGGAGCAGGCCGATCTTCTGGATGTGTGCAAGGGTGAATGATACCATTCATATCCAGATATAGATTGTCGAATTCTTGAAAATTCGGATTTGGTTGAGTGCAATCGACTGGTACCCGTCGACCATCGACACCTCTCTGACGATCTTCATTTGCATTCACTACTGTTGCAGGGTACTTTTTTGTCAACCATCGGAAGAATGCTGGAACTCCCATTCCGGATTTTCCTCTACAAATTTTTCTTGTTTCTATTATTAATTCAAAGGTGTTGTAGAGAGTAAAGTATCGGACGAATGAGAAGCAAGACTAGCTTGAACATGACGACGACCCACAACGGGTATTTGAAAACGGAAAACTGTTGTACGAGAAAAAAGGAAAAGAATGTAGAACACATGTTTATATGTGAAAAATTAACAACAACCAAAAGGACAATTATTCCTTAAGATCTCTCAGTCTTCTGATGGTAGATCTGACGGTAGCGGCAGTGACGGTTCCGTAGACGTAGGCTCCTCCGGCAACGATCTTGTGGCACTTGGCGCAGTTCCAGATTCCGGTGGCCTTTCTCTTCATGGCCTCCTTTCCGCAGAACGAGCAGGTGTAGCGGGAGTGCTGGGCGACCTCGAGCTTCTTGGCCATCTTACGGAGGGAAGCTCCATAACGGGTTCCGTACTTTCCGACGATTCCGACCTTCTTAGTTCTCTTGGCCATTTCGACTGGATTACCTGGAAAAATTAATTTGAAAGAGGAACGGGGTTTAGGATAAAAATACAAACGAGAGAAACAACAAGAAAAAAAGATTTCACATGATTCAAAATTAAGGATTATTGAAAAAACTTCAGGATGATTGAAAAACTATAAACTAACGAAGTCATTTGTGATGGGGTATTTAATTAGCAAAAATGTGCATTTCAAGGCATTTCGGTGCCACTGAAAAGCTTTTTTGGGAATTGAGACTAGCTATTTCATTCAGCCAAAATAACTTTCCGGTCGCAATCTGTTGCAGATTTTTGTGATTCGAAAAACAAGAATAATATTTTAAAGTCTTTTGGAAGCATAAAATTGAATCAACGAAGTTTCGAAATCTGCGATAACGTAAAGTCGATAATTGAGGTAATCTGAATTTCCAAGCATAATATACGGCACAAAATGAGAAAAAACGATTTTAGATGACAGTTACTTATGTTGAATGAACTATAGCACCACCAGAATTCCATTAAAAAATTATTAAAAAATTTAAAAAAAAATTATTTGCGATTTAACCACCAAAAACTCTATATTTTTAACAAATAACACACATTATCAGCTGCCTGAGAATCTTATTATTGATTTCAGCACCTAGTTACGAAAAAAATCGGAAAAATTCGCAGCAAAACGGCGAAAATTGGGAAAAAGAAAAGAAAAAATAGGAAAAAGTTTGGCCTAAAATCGCTCCGCACTACGGTAGATGCGTCGCGTGTCTCAAAAGAGCGCGCTTGCTGCGTTTGGTTTTCTCGTCCGCCAACTTTTCGAATTAATTTCGCCATCGAATGTTTCCTTTTCCGGCAGCAAAACGACTTTTAAAATAGTTTTCCTCGATGGATACATAAAATATTTGTTTTTAATTTAATTTTAAAGTTGTGAAAAATTGCAGATGGCCTCAACTTCGACAGCGTTGCCGGTAAGAACAAAGAGAAAGTTGGAGAATGGGAAAAAGAAACCAAAAACTCCGAAAGACGAGTTCGGTGAAAAGCTGGATGTCAAGCCAGTGATTAAACCAGCAGACGAATACGATTATGACTCTTCGGATGAAGAAGTAAGAGTAAAAAACTGGTTTTTTGATTTTCAATTTTTTTTTCCTTCAGGACCTGCGAAATACAATCGGAAATATTCCAATTCAATGGTACGACGATGAAGATCATATTGGATATGATAAATTCGGAGAGAAGATTGCAAAGCCAGCAAAGAAAGGGGAAATTGAGACGTTTTTAGAGAAAATGGAAGATCCAGATTACTGGAGAAAAGTTTTCGACAAGCAAACTGGAACAGATGTCAAGCTGACCGATGAGCAAATCGAGAAGATTCATAATATTGCCTCTGGAAAGTATCCAACAATCGGCTACAATCCATATGAGCCCTTCCTTGATATCTACTCTTCCCAAAAGGAAATTCATCCAATTGATAATCGTCCAGAACCCAAAGCTCGTTTCATTCCATCTAAGGACGAGATGCGAATGGTTTCTCGAATGGTGCACGCCATCAAAATGGGATGGGCCAAAGGACCAAAAAACAAGAAGGAAGAGCCAAAAGCTTACGATTTATGGGCATCGGAGGATGCACTGGACAATGTTACCAAGTCTCAGTTATCCAGAATGCGTGTTCATATGCCAGCTCCAAAAGTTGCTCTTCCAACTCATGCGGAGTCTTACAACCCACCAGAGGAATACTTGTTTGATGATGAGGAGCGTAAGAAGTGGGAAGAGGCTGAGAAGGAGGATCGTGTTCTTAACTTCATGCCTTCGAAGTATGACGCTCTTCGCAAAGTTCCACAGTATGACAAATTCATTACTGAGCGATTCGAGAGGTGTCTTGATTTGTATTTGGCGCCTCGCCAAAGAAAAATGCGAATCCACGCGGATCCGACTGATTTGCTTCCGGATCTACCGAATCCAAATGATCTTCGTCCGTTCCCAACTACTCTCGCTTTTGTTAGTTCACAAAAATAGGCGCTATGTTGGTTGGGGCCCCAAATTTTCGAATTTTAAGCAATTCATTTAGGTGATCTTATAGAAAATGAAAAACCGGTTCATTCTAAGTCTGAAATATACATACAACAAAAAACGGAATATTCTGAAAAAAAATTCCAGTGAAAAAAGTACTGAAATTCGAGACAATCAGTGAAATGTTCAAAATGTACGCTAAAATTTCATGATTTTTGAACCATTTTCATCAATTTCGCTTTTTTGAATTTTGGAGCATTTTTCATGTATTTAAAACAATTTTTCATGGATTTCAGAACATTTTTAACAAGGATAGGGGCTCACCTGTTCAATTCTATGAATATGGAACACCCGGAAAAATTGCTCAACATTCGAAAATTTGGGTGTCCTCCACCCCACCAACATAGCGTCCAAAACACCCTTTTCTGTTGATTTTTCAAAATTCATGTTTTTTTCAGTACATGCGCGGTCACACCGGACAAGTTCGAGCTATCAGCGTTGAGCCAGTACATGGTGAGCTGTTGGCAAGTGGTGGTGAAGATGGCACAGTTCGTATTTGGATGATGGCCACGGGCCGCTGCATCAAAACATTCCAAATGGACGGAGAAGTGACTTCAGTGGCATTCAGCCCAGTTGCTGACAGGACTCTTCTGGCTGTTGCCTATGAAGGAAAATACGTGGCGATTCTGAATACCGGGTGTGGAGATAGACTTCACGTACAACAGACAGAGACTCTGCTCGCCGAGACACCAACTGAATCTCAAGAAGATGGAGCTATTGTCACGTGGAGAAAGTCAAAGGACAAGTTGGTTCTTAAGATGCCTAACGAGGTCCGTCAAGTGACGTGGCACGCCAAAGGAGACTACTTCGCCAGTGTTGCTATCGACGACATCGCCAAGTCCGTCTACGTACATCAAATGAGCAAAGCAAAATCTCAGTGTCCATTCCAGAAGAGAAAGGGACATGTTCAAGCAGTCACTTTCCATCCAACACAGGCTCGTCTCTTCGTCGCCACCAAAATCCACGTCAGAGAGTACGATCTTGCTCGATGTGTTCTTGTCAAAAAGCTTATCACTGGATGCAAACATATCTCTTCGATGGCTACTGATGCTAACGGAGAAAACTTGTTCCTTGGAGGTTTGGATCGTCGTTTCTGCTGGATGGATCTTCAAATGGGTAACAAGCCTTGGAAGAAGCTGAAGCATCACACAGCTGCTGTCAGAAGTGTGGCTTATCACAAAAAGTATCCGTTATTGGCTACAGTATCTGATGATGGTACTGCGATGGTTTATTATGCAAGAATCTATTCTGATTTCTCGAAGGACAATGAGCTGTATCCAGTGAAGAGACTACGAGCTCATGAGAGAGTATGTTATATCTTTTTATTTACATCGGAAAAACTGCGAAAAACTCTCAAATTTGGGTTTAAATGTCGAAATTTCGGATAATTCGGTCAATTCCGCCCTGTGAAACACATCACACGCGCAATTGCGTACTTTTGACGACAGTAACCCGGCGAGAAAAAAAAATGCGACTTTCTGATTTTCTATGTCAAATTTCTTCAAAAAATCGATTGTCTATGTCAAACTTTTTCAAAATTGTTAAAATTTTCAGACTTCCAACGACTTGTGTATGCTTCACACCACGTGGCACCCAACTCAACCATGGCTCATCACCACTGGAGCCGATGGAACTATCGCACTTTTTACCTATTAGTTATCCTTGTTATCTTCTATTATTCAATTGTTTTGTTATTGTTTTCCTTTCCTTTTTTTCTCCCGCATATATGAATTGTTCTGTTTTTAGGTCCTTTACATACAATTTTTTATTTGACAGGTCGATTTTCAGAAGAGGATATTAACAGCAACTAGCGTGCAAGGATATATTAGTGGAAAAAAGGTATTTTTAAAAAGAGATTTTCAGGTATGCATTAAATAAGTTAAGTTATTAGACAAGTTGAAATTTACAATGGACCAGCTGGCGTCCATCCATTGAATCCTTCCTCGAGCACCTGTGCGATGGCAATCAGATTCCGATCGGTATACTGGTTTCCGATGACTTGAACGCCGAGAGGAAGACCGTGCGAGTCGAGACCAAGAGGACATTGGACAACTGGGACAGATAGAACATTCCAGAGAGCCGTGTAGCAAAAGTTAAATGGAGCAAGGATGGGCTCATTGTGGAACATTGCTGTGCATGGCCAACTAGGGAAAAGGAGGATTCCGTCGTTTCCGAGGAGCTCTTTCACTTGACGCTTCAGACGATCTCTCTTGTAGAGCAGATCTTTTGTATGGGATTCGGAGAATGGTGGATCACGAGAGTCGATGATTCCCGCGATAATTCCAGAGAGGGTATGGTTGGAGTTTCCGGTGAAGTACTTGAATAGCTCAGTGTAACAATTGACCTCTCCTTTTGTTCCATTTGTGCAGAGCATCAGTTTGTTGAATGCTGGATCAGTGGTATCTTCGTGCATCGAAAGTGTGAAGTACTCCATGACGTGTCTGGCAGATGGTAGTTCGATTTGTTGAGCGACGACATCATATTTTCGCTCCAAGAAGTTTACGGCCTGCAAAAAAAATGTTGATTGGTTTGATTAACAGTGATAAGAAACAACTGTCAAATTTCATACTGATTGTCATAAAAAGTTATTCACTTGGGATTCTGGTCTAATTTCAGGGTGGGCGGAGCTCAGTTCGCGAAACTCGAAAAAAATTGTTTTATTGTTTTTATGCGATTTTTTAGATTTTTTCCTAAAAAACTAAAAAATTACTGAAAAACCAAGAAAATAGGTCAGAAAATAATTCTGAAAAATACATGTGCCTTTAAGAATTTCGCTACCGGCCATAAGCTCCGCCCACCATACTTGTAAAATTCCGGGCCGGGCCTGAGGAAATTTTCAAGGCCCGGGCCCGGCCCGGAAGGCCCGGTGTCAAAAATTCTGTATTTTTGAGCCAAATTTTGAGCTCTCAATATAATTTTTTCCATATTTTTTTCTCGTATTTCGGATTGTTTGTCTGTCTGATCAAAAAAGATCGAAAAACTCGAAAAAAATTTTTTTGGTCGAAAAAAATCACCCTTATGTGTTTTTTGAAAATTTCGAAACTAGTGAAATGACGGGCCCGCCGGGCCGGGCCGGGTCTCCGAAATTCCGGAAAAAGCCCGGCCCGGCCCGTTACAAGTATGCCGCCCACTCTCCAAATTTTGATTCAGACTACAGTAATACCTTCTTCAATGCGTATCTCATGTCTTCCTCTAGCGGTTGAATAATTGGGCTTCCAGTGATTCCTTCCATGTAGAAAATGCGAAGTTTCTTTCCATTAACCGGCTCGTGAAGGTTCAAGCTTTTGGCATTTTCTCCAGCCATGATCTGAAGAAAATTTATTGGAAAATGCCCTTCTATTACAGGGGGCCTTCAATTAGAGGGGGCTTTTATATTCTTCCGGGCATTTTTTCCAAACATTTTTATTGAAAAAATGTAGTGAATTCTAATTGAAAAGGCAATGAAACCCCTCAATTTTACAGGAATTGAGCAAGTTTTTGAGGATTCTGGACCATTTTTCATAGATTTTGGATCATTTTCAGTGACTTTTCGACAAGTTTTAGTGATTTGCAGGCCATTTCTTGACACTTTTTTATGGTTTTACGGTATTTCTAATTTCCCAACTCACTCTCAACATCAATGGCAAATCCTCGGCGAACCGACACATTGGTCCGATTCTCAGCATATGGGTCTTATATCCAGTTGGCTCTGGAACGTGTCCAATAAGAGGGATGACTCCTGGTGTTGGCTTCAATCCAAACACTCCATTGAAGAATGATGGCATCCGAATACTTCCTCCAATATCACTTCCGACGCCAACAACACTTCCAGCTGCTCCAAGAAGAGCTCCTTCTCCACCGCTGGATCCTCCTGTCATCCGACGAGCGTCATAGGGATTCTTGGATCTTCCGTAGATGGTATTCACTGATTCAACCCACATACAAACTTCTGGGACGTTGGTAATGGCGAGAAGGATTCCTCCAGCTGCCTGCAGGCGTTTGATGGCTTCTGCTGTGCGTTCGCATTTTGTGGATTTTCTGTTGAAAACTCCGCAAGTGACAATCTCATTCTCTACTTCTAAGGCATCTTTCATGGTGAATGGAACTCCATAGAGGGGTTTTTCCTCAATCTTTTTCTGAATATCCTCCTCGTCGGCTAGAGCCATAAACGTGTCAACTTCAGTGGCTTGTTGACGAGCTCTATCGAAAAGTTTGACGACGACTGCATTGATAGTGTTGTTGACCTAAAATTGGACTATTTTTAGTGCTTTTTCGACTAGATTTAGTGCTTTTTGGGCTGTTTTTCCTGACTTTTGGGCCATTTTATATAGATTTTAGACTATTTTTCATGGATTTCAAACCATTTTTCATGTTTTTCGAACCATTGTTCATGGATTTAGGACCAATTTTAGTGATTTTTCGACTAGTTTCAGTGATTTCAGATCATTTTTTCATGAATTTTGGATCATTTTCAATGGGTTTTAGACCATTTTTCATAAATTTTGGACTTTTTTCAGTGGTTTTCTGACTGTCTTTTATGAAATTCGGACTATTTGTAGTGTTTTTTGGATTATTTTTCCTGGATTTCGGAACATTTTTAAATAAGAACGGCGGCTTACCTGTTCAATTCTGTGAATATAACTTTCGACAAGAGCCGTGGATGAGATTTCTTTCTTTGAGATCATTCGAACCGCCTGTGTGGCTGAGATCAAGAGGAGACGATCGGTGGGAGGAGTCACATAGACACGTTCACGGAAGAAGTAGTTCACGAACCAGAATACGAATCGAACGGTGTAAAAGTAGCAAGCGGATATAGTGAGCAGCAAGTTGAGGAAAGCCTTTTTCATGCGGTAGGGGACCGCCATCCTGGAAAACTGGAGAGGTTTTTGATAAGAAAAAATGATACTGGACTTTATAAAGTGTGCACAAAGAATGAGTGTTCCCCATGAAAAAAATTTTTTTAAGAAAAAAAAGAAGGAACAGTTTTATGCTTTAAGAGCAAACAAGTTGGAGGAGAGAAGTCGCGGAGGAATGATCGATAAGAGAAGAAAGCGTGGTAGAGTGTAGCATGTATAGCCAATGGACTCATCAGCAAAAAACATTTGTGTTGACAACATTTGTGTTTGACATCTTTTTTTGTTGTGAAAATCAAGGCAAAAGTAACATTTTTAAAAATAAAATTTGTGACAAAAACTAATCACTCTAATTAAATCTATTTGCACCTTTGAAAACGAAACATTCAGCTGAGCATCTCGAAACAATTTCGAAATAAATTAATTGTGAACGTTGACTAAGTATTCGTGCCGAAACCCATTCAAATTTGCTGGCATGCTCCTTTAAATGTACTGTTTTCGAGAGAAAAATTCCCAAGTTTCATCGCCTTTGGAACGTTTATAAAGCTTTTTACACTAAAAAAAAACTTGAAAAAAACGAACCAAAATTATGTCTTGTATCAAAACTTTTGAAAAACGCTAGTTTTCTCTGACTTTAACTAAAAATCCAGGAAAAATTATGAAAAATCGACAAACTAACAGATCGTGTCGAAAAAAATTCAACTTTTTCGAAATGCTCCTTTAAAATACGGTAGTTTTTAGAAAAGAAATTTTCCAAAATTTTCATCGCATTTGGAAAGTTTATAAAGCTTTTTTAAACTACAAAAACGAGTTAGAATACAAGAAAAATTATGTCTTGTGCCAAAAAATTGCGTTCAGAACACAGAAAATCGGATATCTTGTGGCAAAAAAATCTGTGTTTGAAGCAAAAGCCGAAATTGAGAATCGCGACACATGTCATTTCATTTCGGGTTGCCAATGGTTACAAGCTAAAAAACATATGAAAAACACATGTGATTTTTGGTGCTTGTTTCATCTTTCTCTAAGAAAAAAAACTTGATAAAAATATTTTTCATCTAGAAAAGGTTTTTTTCCGTTATCAGAATAATATGAATTTGCTTTCGCTTTAGACAGGAGAAAGAGAGTGAAATTTGAGGTTTCTTGCGAATACGGATTCTAGAAAAGAGAAAAGTCAATAGTCTCCTAGAAAAAACCAGAGAATCTTAATTTTCTCTGCGTCTAACTATTGCCATTAGAGCGCACTTGCGCTAGATACAGTAATTAAATAAAAGACTAACTATAAGGTGTGGGGATCCACATGTGGATCATGTTATAATTGAATCACCACTTGAAGCAAACGAAAAGAAAAAAAACAAAAACAAGAGAAGTTTAAAGGGAAGGAAGTATTTACAAATAAAAACAGGTTATTTAGGAGAATGGCTACTAGATCACAAGGTTACTTTCGTCGGGAACAAAGTGTGTTTTTTGGTGTTTTTTCGCGTGAACTAAGCCACAGCTGTGCCACGTGGCAAAATGTGGAAAAGGTGGCCAAAAATTGCCTATAAATGAAGAGAAATTCAATTGAATCAATCAGTCAACGCTTAAAAAATAAAAGAAAAATAAACGATGGACGATGCATATGAGGAGAAGATTCAACGGGAACCGCCGATGGTTACCAGGATGAATCCCGAGAATTATCTTATGGGAAAATCGGAAAAAGAGGCACAAGACGCCTACGAGAGGAAGTATCCATCGGGTCCACCAAACGATTTACACACCTATCAGGACACCACGAATCTGGACTTTCCTTTTTTTTATAGATGCACCTCAGGTTGCGAGGCCTAGTTTGGAAATTCCAATTATTTTTTTTATTCAGTTAATCTTCATTGGACGCCTTTGTGAGGAGCCAGTGACCGCCTACTTTATTGTGAATTCTACAACCAAGGCATTTTGATACAAGGTCAAAGCGTCGAATCGGGAGATGTTCAAAGTTCGGTCACCGGTTGGGAAGATTGATAGAGAGGAGAGTGCCACGATTTCAGTGATTTTTTATCCCGGATTTCATCGTCCGAAGGCCTATTGCTACTATCTACATGTCTACGCGTTGTATGATGATGGGAGAAGTGATGTAAGTTGCCGTAATACCTTTAATAGAAGGGCTCCCACACTTTAAACTTTTGAGCCAATTTATCTTGGTTTCTGTTAAAAATACAAGAAAATTGTCAACTGATAAAATGGAAATGATGATATATCAAACAATTTATCAGTTGGCATGTTTTTGATATCTCCTATAGGAAGCGAGATAATTGAGCTGAAAACTGATAGTGTTGGGGGCTTGGCCGAAGGTCCCACAACGACAACTAGCGCAACCTAAATACATATTTCCGTCGAGTTGTTTTGTTATTATTCCCAAAAAAAAGTTGGAACTCACGAAAACCAAGATAGTAAATCCGGAAAGTAAAAATATTTTTAGATTACGGTAGTGGTCGTTGTGGGACTTTTGTACCAGAATATCATTTTCGTACCAGAATATCAGAATGATCTGGAATTGTTAAAATTATAAAATTCTAGAGTGCCTATCTAGCCTTCACAAGACCGGATAATCATTGTCGTCCTGCCAAGAAGCGGATCTTCATGGACTTTATCTGGCACCCTCATGTTGAAATCACGCGGGCTTTTGAATATGGCGTGTTGCTGGATATGGTCAAGTCGAAAAACCAATACGATTTGGCGAATGAAAATGAAAAGAAGAAACAGAAAAGAATAGACGAAGATGAACCTCCACCGGATCTTCTAGATGTCACTTACGATCACAGAGAGATGGTCATTGAGAAAATGCTCAAGAACGACGTCAAGGAGAAGCATCGTCAATCGTTGATGACAACAGAAGAATTATCGAAATATATGGCAAAGGTTTCGGAAAATAAAAATAAGAACAAGATTGCTGTGTTATGTGAGAAGCCGTTGGAAAACTACGATCGACAAAAGGCGTACTTGGATAAAAGAGAATCGAAGGAATTGGCGAATCAGCTTTGGAAGGAATATATGGTTGTGATGGAGAAGAAAGGTTATAAGAAAACGACTGAAAAATGGAAGGTGTTCACACAGGAGCAACAAGAATTTAAGCAGATGGAGGACGCGAAACGACAAGCAAAACGGGAACAGGTGGAGAAAGAAAAAGCTGAAAAAGAGAAAGCGTCCAAAACACCTGTGAAGACTTCAAAGGATTCGAAGGAGAAGAAGAAGGGGAAATAGGCTATTGAGAACTGTTTTGAACTTTTTTTTTCCTTATGAATGATTGAATTGGGGGAGGGGAGGGATACTCAGATGTGATGATTTTCAGAAGTATTGAATATGAAAGAAAAATTCTAGATGAACGGTCTTGGTAGCAAGCTGAAAAAAATTATGAAAAACTTCTGAAATTTTGAGATATGAAAATTCATCGTTTTGAAAATTTGAAAATTGTAAAACGGAAAATTCAAGTTGAGAAATTCGGGAAGTTCATAATCTAATACAAATTTATAAAAATAAGTTTAAATCTGTGCATAATTTTGATACCTTCTGAAATTTTGAAACCTGAAAGTTTTTACAATTTTAATATTCGTAAGCTATCTGAAGTCCGAATTCTCAGAATTCGATATTTTTGAAAATTTAAAATCTCAAAAGTCGGAATTCTGAAAACGTTAAAAACTTGAATTCTCAAAGTATTTGTAATTCTGAAAGAACTAAAACAGACATCGTGATTTGGAAGTTTTTTTGAAAGTCCGAATGTCTTAATTCTGAAAATTGTATGCTTTTACTTGGAATTTCGAGATTTCAGGTGAAAGTATGAAAATCGAATTTTAGGAATTTCAGATACGAATTTCAGATTTCTGAACCAAGATTCTTCGCTGCTACCTAAAACGGATTCACCAAACGTTTGGATTCATCAGACTTCAAAAATGTTTTATGTGTATTTCGTTTTTTATGTTATTAACTTTTTCCATCATTCATTTTCTCCTGATTTCCAATTTGTAGCCTTTTCATATTCACATCTCTCACAAGTTACTCATGCTTACCCATACATTCCCATATTCCAACCTTCACAAACTGTTATTTTACTTTCCATGAAAGCTAAACCATGTCGCTTCTTGTTGTTACGTGTTTCAACCCAAAACAAAAGCAAAACTATCAGATTTCCTTCTCTCAAGTCACAAACTATTTGCTCTTTCTCTTCAATTGAAACAAAAGAAACAGTTCCCTACAAAGTCCTATCTGCTTCTCTATTTTCGATTCCAAAACCAATTAGAACTATTTTCTCACCCTCTTCTACCCCATAAATGCTTCTCTTTGTCTTCTAATCCGATTAGAACCGTCACCTTCCTAAATGAGAGAGAGTGACATCCCTTAAACGGACCGCCCGCAATCTTTTGCTCATACAGTTCTTCCCTCTCGGTGCTCTTTTTGGTTCGCTAGGTAAATAATACAGTAGGATTGAGAGAGCGAGAAGATTTGTGAAGAAGTGCGTCTAGTGTTTCCAAACTGAACCCACCCCGAAATTCGTCCGATTTCCGATTTTTCGAATTTACTGATTTTCATTCTGAAAATTTCAGCAACAAGGAATTTCTGAACATTCATATGTTTTCCCTAATTTTTTCGGTTTTTTTTCTAACAAAACTTTTCTATTTTGTTCCGATTTTTATCATATCGTATAGCATCTGATACCCCAACACACCCTTTTAACCCGAATTCCCTTTAACCCTAATTACCCTGATTGCTCGAATAGAAACCCACTTTTGACACTTTGGGCTGGATTATCTCGGTTCCTATGAGAGATATCTAAAATTAGTCAACTGATAAAATTTTTATCACAATATGAGAAACATTTTGTCAGTTAAATACTTTTCGATATCCTCAACAGGAATCGTGATAATTGAACTCAAACATAGGATGGCGAAATACTGTATCTAAGGAGCATGGGTGGTATCTTTGTTTCTGTAAAAGTCACAAGTTACCGATCTATTCCAAGAAATTCAAAAATCGAATTTTCAAAAATTTCAAAAAAAATTCCAGATCATACTGCCACCCCTACAATGATACCGTGGCTACTACTGTACCTATTCGGTGCAGTCCATTCAGATCTCCATAAATTATTATCCACACTTCCTCAGTACAGTGACTCACGGATACCTCCAATTTTAAGACCTCTCTCGTATGACTTACAGTTGCAGTTGCCATTATCTGAGGTTGGTGTTCGGTAAAAAACTCATCATTCGGTAAAAAATCTGAAAAGTCATATTCTGAAAATATACTCTAAAGTTTCCAAATATTCTAATTCAATTTCAATTCCAGGTATCAGATCCAGATATTCCTCTATTCACTGGCCGATGTGTAATGCAGTTTGAAATCAATCAACAAATCGGTCCAGAATCTGCGTTTATAAGTGATTCTACAAGTAATCGAGCTAGAATAAAGGCAATTTCAGATTTTGAAAAACTCAAAAATATAGAAAAAAAATATTTCAGTTTGATATCATAATGTTGGACCATTTTGAAAATGTTTCATTGGTTTATAACGGCAACGAATTGGAGATATTCAATGTTCAGTTGACTGATGATTCAATGGAATTATCTGTAGATCAGCCAGTTTTGTTTCCGGGAAGGTACACAATGACAATTCATAGATATAAAGGATTAATTGGAAGTGCTTTATATTACAGGTATGAATATTTTAAATTATGTACAAATGATTCGGAGGGTACACAAATTTTTCGGGTCATTTGGGTGCAAAATTTTCAATTCAATTTTGTACCCCCGAATGGTTATGCTCTCCGAATTTTGTGCCGAAATTGTGGGGACCACTGAATGTCTAGTTTTTAGAGACGCTGGAGAGCATGCTGTATTTGGGTCTCATTTATTCCCGAATAGAGCTCCCGCAGTGTTTCCAACATATCTGGGAACAACTGAAAAGGTTACATTCTCTATAACTATGGTTCATCCAATTGGAACCAACGCGTTGACTTCTGGAGCTAGTGAAGCATATCCAAGGAAAATGGATGATAATTGGCAGGTGAGAGAGATATGAGGAAATTCCAATTTTTGATTTGAAACATTTATTTTTGTATTGTCAAACATTGAAACTAGTGTTTTCCTTCATGAAGGATTACTGGTTTTACAGTAACAACCGTATTAGCTTAAATAGAAGCGCACTCTATATGTCCACTTTTAGCTCAATTATCTCGGCTCCTCCAAAAGTTATCAGAAAATTTTTAAATGTTAAAATATTGCTGATATTATGAGAAATAATTCATCAGTTGACAAATTTTCAATATCTCTCACAGGAATCGAGATATTTGAACTCAAAGTTGACGGTTCGGGAAACTTCTATCAGAGCAAATACGGCAACAAAAATTTTTCTCATTTTCATTGAAGAATTGATGTTTTCTAATTTTCTAAAAACTGAGCAGAAAATAACCAATCGATCTCAAATTTTCATCAAATATTGAACAAAATGAAAATTATAAATTTTTCCACATTATAACTTTTTCTTGGACCAAATTTCAAACCCTTGCAAATACCGTATTTCCTCTAGCAGAAGCCTACTCAATCCGTCAACTTTCAGCTCAGTTATCTCGATTTCTGTAATAGGTATGAAAACTTTGTCAACTAATAAAATGCTTATCATAATATAACCAATATTTTATTAGTTGACAAGGTTTTGATATTCCCCATAGGAACCGAGATAATTGAGCTCAAAGTTGAAGGTTTTATGTGGGCTCCTATCATTTAAAAAACGGTGTTAGCTCCATTTTATCAAAGATACATATTGTTTTTAGATGAATTTTTGCAGAAAAGTTGTAATTCACAAAAATGAAGTTTTGTTTTTCAAAAATATCATCTAAAATTTTTTGGATTGATCGGACCAATTTTAACTGTATATATCTGGGAGCACAAAACTGTCGTTTTCAAAAAAGAAATTAAAATTTCCTAAATGAAAATTTTTATAATTTTTAATCACTTAAAAATCAAACACCTAAATCAATAAACTTCAAAATGCTTAAGATTACTGTATCTAATTATTTTTCCAACTCCAGATGACAACTTTCTCTACAACGCCATCCATCACACCTTCAATGCTCTGTTTCCTTCTCCTCCCACACGAATATACTCATGTACGGTTTTTCGAAATTTTCAGATTTTTTAAAAGTTGAAGTTAAAAATTAAATTTCAGATTGAATCCTCTTTCACCGGTATCAACATCACCGTTCACTATAACAAATTCCGTGTTCAAAAGGAGCAAGCCAAGCATTTATTGCATACCTCCACTCAGGTTTTGGCTTTGTTAAAGTGAGAAATTTTGAATTTTTTTAAAAGTAAATGAGTCTAAGTTTTTCTTTCCAGAGATATATTTTCTTCGCTGATTCCTGTTCCAAAAATCGACATAGTCACTATGAATGAGGTCTCTTCTACGGCTTGTTTTGGAGCTGTTGTTGTTTCTGAAGGTTGGCGGGAATTCGAATTTTTGGAATCTTCTAAATCTTTTGTATTTAGTTCAATTCTTCTCTTCCGACTATGCAAATCAGGTCCGTCTACTTGCCACGTGGCTTGCCAAACAATGGATTGGAGGATACGCAGCGATTTCAGAAGGAACGGAATTGTGTCTTCAGGAAGATTTAGTTAGCTATATAGCGGAGAAAGTGATTAAAAGAATGACAAATGATGAGCATACCAGACTGGGACAATTAGCTAAAGTGGGATTCTTCATTTTTTAATTTTAAAAAATTGTCTCTTTTATCAAAAATTTCAGATTTATCTATCGGAAACTGTTTTTCTTCCCGGGGAAACTTTGAAATTGGATGAGTATCCGAATGAAATGGAAATTAGTGAAAAATGCGGATTGAAAGGAGTTGCAATGTTGGAATCTATCGAATTTCTAATTGGAGAGAAGACGATGATTTCGAAAATCAACGAGATGATTTATAATTCAAAGAAAGGAGCATACAGTTCGGAGACGTTGTATGGGCTATTGAATAGTACTGTGGATGCGGATATTTATGTTTCACAGGTTGGTTTTATTTTTAAAATGGTGTAAATCTGAAATTCTGAAATTGAGAAGTGGAAAATTTGAGCAACTCAAAAATTCAGAAAATCTAAAATTCAGAAATTTTGAAAATTCAGAAATTCGGAGGTTCTGAGATTCGGAACTCGGAAAATCTAAAAATCTGAACAATTCTAAAATTTCAAAATTCTAAGATTCTGAAATGTTTTGAGATTCCAAAATTTCGAAATTCTGAAATTCAAAAATTCGAGAAATAAAAAATTAGAAAATTCAAGAATTCGGAAATTCTAAAATTCTGAAAAAAAATTCAAAAAATCTAAAAAATTCTGAAATTTCGAAATTTTGAGATTTGAAAAAGCAAAAATTCGAAAAACTTTTTTGCAATAATGATAGGAAACAGCATAACTTTTAAAATACTTTAATAAAATAGGAATTTTATTGTTGGAGTCCCCCCTTAAAATAAATTTTGTAAACTAAAAACATTTCAGCTCCTTCACTACTGGCGAGGACATGGTGGTCTTCCTTTTATGACTGTTGATCGACTCGGAAATTCCATAAAAATCACTCAAAATGGGTCGAATATGACAGTGAAAAACGAAATGGGAACATGGGAACGCATGCCGTTATGGCCACTTCCATTGAAATTTACCGAATTCAAACTGCCAATTCAAATAATGATTAGCCATGGAATTCAATTATCTCCAGTTCGCGAAGGAATGATTTTCTCAAATTTGGGTTTTCCTAATTACTATCGAGTTAATTACGATATTGACACGTGGCGAGAGATCAAGACTATACTGACTGAAAATGCGACGTCTTATACGCTAAGAGAGCGGTTTCAGCTGGTTTCAGACTTTTGTTACTTCTATTCTATCAGTAAGTTTCATGAACAATCTACCGTAAAACCTGTGATAGAAGAGCCCCCACACTGTCATGTTTGAGGTGAATTATCTCGATTCCGATGCGAGATATCAAAAATTGGTCAACTAATAAATTGTTTATCATAATAACAGAAGTGGTTTGTCTGTTGATTCTTTTTGAATACTTTGCATGAGAGTTGAGATAATTGAGCTCACACTTGACAGGCCCTTCTATTACAGGTTCTACGGTATCTTTAAGAAATCATAAAAATTCAGAATCTCTTCCTGAACCTGCTGCATCAGTGCTTCGAAACGAATTCGTACAGTTGGTCCGCCTACGACCAACGTCTTTCCCAATATGTGACGCTGCGATCTTCCAGTGCGTTGTTACTCACGAACACACCCGACCGAAGCATTTGGATAAGAGCCAGATGATTCAGATGCGACGGAAAGTGTTCGATTCGTTCACCAATTCGTCCGAAATGGAGTGTCGTTCCGGACTTGCTCATGATGCTCTCAATGATCTTTGTACAAAGCTTTATGGTATCTCATGCTTATAGAATTTCTAATAAAAATGATTTGTTTCTGAGTCATATGTCCAACTTCCCAACTTCTGAATCAGAAGATGTCAAAATTTATTTGATTTTGCCCGCTCAGACAAATGCCTCATATCCGCAATGAAAACCATTGGTTTATTAGGATTCGTCATTTAGTAGTCTTCATCGACGGGTATTTCGAGTAAGGTAGGCAGAGAGAACGAGACGCCGGGTGTAGTAGTTGTGGCGCAGCCGACATCTTGCGGGTTCCGCCGCCCACTATACTTTGCATTGCAACGATGCTCCGGGATAACGATGTGCGCTTTGTTTAGTGGGGGGCCGCTGGGTTTGTGAATTTTGTTTTTCAACTCTTTTTTTGAATCAAGTTTTAATCTGAACCGGTATTTTTTTTGCTAGTAAAATGATTATTAAGATGAATATTTGAAGCAAAGTTTTCCTTAATTTTCATGGGAAGGCTGTAAATCAAGTAAATAGCGAAATAAATTGAATCAAAATCGTAAACTGTTTTATTACTCCAGCGGTAGGAGTTGTTTAAAAAATCAATCGAGCCATGTGAATGATCGATATTTGTCTTGCTCATTCTATTTTTTCTCACATTCTCCCTCCCTCTTTCTCTCTCTCTTTTGCCTCCAGTGAAAGATTTCTTTCCAGATCCATCTCATCCTTGCAACATCAAATCAGCAAAATGTCAGAAGTAAGTTTTATCTCAGTAACTCTCGATATTTTACTTAAATGAATTTCAGAGAGGGGATGATGACAGAACCACTTCGACGATCAATAGTTTGGCGAAACGCAGGTATCAGGACAATTTAGACACGTTTCAAGAAGAGCGTGCCGGTTTTCAAGTAAGTTTCTCTTCTGATTCCTTGTAGAAATTCTGATTTTTAGCAAAAACGCCCACATGCTGTTGACGATGAAGATGAGGACTTCGAGACAGCAGCACCACCAACTAAGCAAAAGACAAAGGCTGAGGAAATGATGGAACGAATGGGTTATAAGGCAGGAGAAGGTCTCGGAAAGAACAAACAAGGAATCCAAGAGCCAGTGGCACTCTCAACTCAACGAGGAAAAACTGGACTTGGTCATGAAGGTGCAAAAGCGGTTGCAAGAGATATGAATGAGCAATGGGATGATTCAACAGAGAATAAGACAGTTGAGGAGACAGTTATTTGGATGACTGATATCGATGAAGGAATTAGAAGAGAGATTTGTGATAAACTGATAAAAGACGATCAGTGGATGGTTGTACGGAAAGAAAAGAAAGTCATCGATGATGAAACCGAATTCTGTAGTGAAAAAGAGCTGAAAGATATGATTGAAGCTAAGAATGTGTTCGATTCGATGTCAGATAAAGATCTCAGAGAAGCCAGAACCCGTGCGAATCCATATGAAACCATTGGTTCCGCTTTCTTCCAAAACCGCGCTGCCATGAAAACAGCCAATATGGACAAGATCTACGATTGGATACTGTCCAGAGAGAATACAGGAAACAACAGTTTTTTGCTGAAAAATCCGCTTCAAGAGGGAACGACAGCTGAGAACGTGGATAGGCACGAAGATCTCTTCTATTTCGCTGATGTTTGTGCCGGACCAGGAGGATTCTCAGAGTACATGTTATGGAGAAAAGCGTTTTATAATGCGAAAGGGTTTGGATTTACATTGGCTGGAAAAGATGATTTCAAGCTTCAAAAGTTCACAGCATCGTCTGCCTACTTCTTTGAAACTTTCTACGGAACAAAGAAGAATGGAGATGTTATGGATCCAGAAAATATCGATTCTCTCGAAAAGTTCATTAGTGAAGGCACAGATGGGCAAGGTGTTCATCTGATGATGGCAGATGGTGGATTCAGTGTTGAAGGACAAGAAAATATTCAAGAGATTCTTTCGAAGAGACTCTACCTCTGTCAGCTTCTGGTGTCGCTTTGCATCGTTAGAGAAGGCGGAAACTTCTTCTGTAAACTTTTCGATATTTTCACTCCATTCAGTGTTGGATTAATCTATTTGATGAGAGTCTGTTATGACAGCATTTCTCTTCATAAACCACACACAAGTCGTCCAGCAAATTCAGAGAGATACATCACTTGCAAAGGATTAAGAAAGGAGTTTGCAGGCGTTGTGAAGGATTATTTGAAGAGGTAATTTTTTAAAAATCTTCTTCACTTATCAGGAATTAATACAAACAATTTCAGAGTCAACCGCAAACTAGACGAGCTCAAAAACAAGAATTCAAAAGACGACGTTATGGAACTGATGCCTCTGGACGTCATCAAATCAGATGAGCAATTCATGAAAGAAATCATTGAGCACAACGAAGTGTTGGCCCATCGTCAAACTGTCTACCTTCAAAAGTACAAAAGTTTTGCAAAGAATCAGGGACAATTCGACAAGGATCAGGGAAATCTTCGTGATGAGTGTCTCAAGTACTGGCAGGTCCCGAACAAACAGAGACCACGTGGCGGTGATCGTGGAAGTCGTAATGGAAATCAAGAGCGTCTGAATCCAAATGTAGTACTCGGAAAGTATACTTCGAAGATTTGCGGAGAGGCAGAATTGGGCAACAAGTTCCCCGAGTTTTCCATATCAATGCTTCAATCGAAAATTCCATCAAACATTCCCTATGAGGAATATCGTTTCGTGGCCTGGGTGCAGCTTCCGATCCTCAATTGCTCATTGGTACAGGAGACGCAGTGTTCATTTATCGGCATGGTCACTTTGAACAAATCGATAGAGATTATGCTCGTATTCCGGAGAATACCATCTTGTTGGTGGACTGTGCGGAAGAGGTCAAGACTGACGGATCGAAAATCCGAATCAGTAGTGATCCTCATATGATTCGTATTGCGGATGCAGCTGTACTTTATGGAGATAATGTATCACAATTACCATATGAGGCTAGAATGAAGGCTGCTCAAAAATTCGCCCTCGCTTTGAAATTGGTTAGTTATCAGTTAGTAACTCTTCTCGAACGAATTGTAATATTCAGACAAAGAAAACAATTCAAATCGGTTGGGGATTCAGGGCAAAAGACATCACTCCTCACCAGGTCTGTTGTGCTCAAACCTATTCTCTCAAAGAGCTCGATGAATTCCAATCCAATTTGATTGAACTCAAACAAAGAGGAGAAGTTATTGTGCTTTTCAAAGAAGGAGACCGCCAATTCAAAACTCAGTCACTGAGACTTACGAGAATCATCAAGCGTAAGTTATACCTTTAAAAACAGGTCAATTGAAATATCATATTTTTAGAAGACTGGCAAATGGGATGGTCCAAATCACAGCAAGTTCCATATGTGCACTCTCCACTACACCAAAAAGAGGGATCTATACTTGAGGACCAATGGAAGAAAAGAGAAATACACTCTTCGTTCTGGGACAGTGTTATTTTGACGAATAAAGATAAGCAAAAGATGACGGAGATGATGCAGCACGGTCACAATGCCGTTCCATCAACTATCTGGAGCTGGAAACCGTGTAGTGAGTTCTTCATTCAAAATTCACCCCTAATGTGTATAATATTTCAGTGCGTACAGAATATGGTCCATACAAGATCATGAACCATCCAGAAGCCTTCGATGGCAAGCCAACTATTTCTGCAATCAAATCACAGATCGCCGAGACTGATCTCAGCACTCTGCGTAGCAAATATACACCTCTTACAGCTCTGTAATATAAATACGTCTATTAATTTTTATGTTCATTTTTTTCTGTTACCGAAATTTAATTTAATTTTTTTTCTTTCTTTTTATGTGTGTAACACACTATTACCGCATTTAAAGTGACCTTCCTATATTCAATTAAACTTTGTTGCCTCTAATAAAAATGCGTAATAAATCAATAATATCATGGCTTGCACGGTTCATTGAGCCTTTGTGTATATCTTTTTGAAAAATTGGAATTTTTTGGATGTTACGATATATTTCAGAGGATGGACGACATTCTTCCTCACCTCTCCGACAGGATGTGCGCGTTTTTACTGAAAAATTCGAATTTCCGCAAAAAATCTGAAGAGAAAATTACTTGAAATAAAGCCGGCACGCTCTCTTCCTGAATTGTCCTGATGTACGTCTTTGTTGATCGTCTAAGCGATTCTGTCTCTATCCCCTTTGTCTCAAAAAGAGCGTACAGGTTTTCAAGTAAGTTTCTCTTCTGATTTTTGTGAAAATTCTGGTTTTTTTTCAGAAAACGCGTAAATCTTGACGATGACGAAGATGACTTCGTGGACGATCCGTCACCAACTGAACAAAAGACGAAAGCAGAGAAAAAGATGGAAAGAATGGGTTATAAAGCAGGAGAAGGTCTTGGAAAGAACAAACAAGGAATCCAAGAGCCCATTGCTATTTCATTTCGCGAAGGAAAAGCTGGACTTGGTCATGAGCAATGGGATGATTCAACAGAGAATAAGACAGTTGAGGAGACAGTTATTTGGATGACTAATATCGATGAAGGAATTAGAAGAGAGATTTGTGATAAACTGATAAAAGACGATCAGTGGATGGTTGTACGGAAAGAAAAGAAAGTCATTGATGACGAAACTAAATTCTGTAGTGAGAAAAAGCTAAAAGATATGCTTGAAGCTAAGAATGTGTTCGATTCGATGTCAGAAAAAGATATCAGAGAAGCCAGAACCCGTGCGAACCCATATGAAACCATTGGTTCCGCTTTCTTCCTAAACCGCTCTGCTATGAAAACAGCCAATATGGACAAGATCTACGATTGGATACTGTCCAGAGAGAATACAGGAAACAACAGTTTTTTGCTGAAAAATCCGCTTCAAGAGGGAACGACAGCTGAGAACGTGGATAGGCACGAAGATCTCTTCTATTTCGCTGATGTTTGTGCCGGACCAGGAGGATTCTCAGAGTACATGTTATGGAGAAAAGCGTTTTATAATGCGAAAGGGTTTGGATTTACATTGGCTGGAAAAGATGATTTCAAGCTTCAAAAGTTCACAGCATCGTCTGCCTACTTCTTTGAAACTTTCTACGGAACAAAGAAGAATGGAGATGTTATGGATCCAGAAAATATCGATTCTCTCGAAAAGTTAATTAGTGAAGGCACAGATGGGCAAGGTGTTCATCTGATGATGGCTGATGGGGCGTTCAGTGTTCAAGGACAAGAAAATATTCAAGAAATTCTTTCGAAGAGACTCTACCTCTGTCAGCTTCTGGTGTCGCTTTGCATCGTTAGAGAAGGCGGAAACTTCTTGTGCAATTTGTTCGATATTTTCACTCCATTCAGTGTTGGATTAATCTATTTGATGAGAGTCTGTTATGACAGCATTTCTCTTCATAAACCACACACAAGTCGTCCAGCTAATTCAGAGAGATTCGTCGTTTGCAAAGGATTGAGAATAGAGTGTGCACGAGTCGTGAAGGAGTATTTGAAGAGGTAATTCTATTTTTAAACCTTCATCCACTAGGACCAGAAATTGAGGTAGGAACTGCTTTCTTTTCTCGTGATTTCGAAATCCATGTTCTGAACGGACGACCTTCCCAACCTCCATTGGAATGTTCGGCTTTTTTTCAATTTTGAATTGCGAAAGATCTACCAACTTCCAAAATTAGCGCACATAAATTGGTGATACAAAAGTTAGCACTTCATCATTGATGAAAAGCAGTGAAGCAACAAATTCGATGCTTCAAAAAGAAGTGCTGAATTTCGCATCATCAATTTAGCACAACTTTCTGGGAGTTGATGGATCTTTTGGAATTCCAAATTGTAAGAAAGCCAAGGATTCCAATAGACGTTGGGAAGATCTCAAGAGAAACGTTGTACTATTTCACATAACCAGAATATGTGTGCGCTCAAAATATGGGGAAATCAAGAGAAAGCGAATCTGGATTTTGAAGAAAATTTTTCCTTAAAAAACTCATTAGTTCCTGCCTGAATTTTAGGTCCTAGTGGATGACGAGTTGTAACAACTTTGAAACATGTAGCATATAATCAAAAAATGTAGTTAAAGGTGGGGGGGACAGGAGATTTTACGGGGGATTTTTGGGGCCAAAGTATGCATTCTACCGTAACGGTGTACAATGCTTAATGTCACTCTGCGTACAGCTGTCGTCCTCGCCTTATGTATGCAATCGGGCGTGCGCTTTCTCTTTGCCCGCGTGGCTCAGTCGGTAGCGGCGCCGCACCCTCAATCAACGCCCTCACAAGTTCAACTCCTCGAGGGGCATCTTTGAACGGAATTTCGAGAACATTATTCTTCTTATGGTCCCCCACCTTTAAAGAGTAATTTACCTCTTTTTTTTTCAGAGTCAACCGCAAACTAGACGAGCTCAAAAACAAGAATTCAAAAGACGACGTTATGGAACTGATGCCTCTGGACGTCATCAAATCAGATGAGCAATTCATGAAAGAAATCATTGAGCACAACGAAGTGTTGGCCCATCGTCAAACTGTCTACCTTCAAAAGTACAAAAGTTTTGCAAAGAATCAGGGACAATTCGACAAGGATCAGGGAAATCTTCGTGATGAGTGTCTCAAGTACTGGCAGGTCCCGAACAAACAGAGACCACGTGGCGGTGATCGTGGAAGTCGTAATGGAAATCAAGAGCGTCTGAATCCAAATGTAGTACTCGGAAAGTATACTTCGAAGATTTGCGGAGAGGCAGAATGGGCAACAAGTTCCCCGAGTTTTCCATATCAATGCTTCAATCGAAAATTCCATTAAACATTCCCTATGAGGAATATCGTTTCGTGGCTCTGGGTGCAGCTTCCGATCCTCAATTGCTCATTGGTACAGGAGACGCAGTGTTCATTTATCGGCATGGTCACTTTGAACAAATCGATAGAGATTATGCTCGTATTCCGGAGAATACCATCTTGTTGGTGGACTGTGCGGAAGAGGTCAAGACTGACGGATCGAAAATCCGAATCAGTAGTGATCCTCATATGATTCGTATTGTGGATGCAGCTGTACTTTATGGAGATAATGTATCACAATTACCATATGAGGCTAGAATGAAGGCTGCTCAAAAATTCGCCCTCGCTTTGAAATTGGTTAGTTATCAGTTAGTAACTCTTCTCGAACGAATTGTAATATTCAGACAAAGAAAACAATTCAAATCGGTTGGGGATTCAGGGCAAAAGACATCACTCCTCACCAGGTCTGTTGTGCTCAAACCTATTCTCTCAAAGAGCTCGATGAATTCCAATCCAATTTGATTGAACTCAAACAAAGAGGAGAAGTTATTGTGCTTTTCAAAGAAGGAGACCGCCAATTCAAAACTCAGTCACTGAGACTTACGAGAATCATCAAGCGTAAGTTATACCTTTAAAAACAGGTCAATTGAAATATCATATTTTTAGAAGACTGGCAAATGGGATGGTCCAAATCACAGCAAGTTCCATATGTGCACTCTCCACTACACCAAAAAGAGGGATCTATACTTGAGGACCAATGGAAGAAAAGAGAAATACACTCTTCGTTCTGGGACAGTGTTATTTTGACGAATAAAGATAAGCAAAAGATGACGGAGATGATGCAGCACGGTCACAATGCCGTTCCATCAACTATCTGGAGCTGGAAACCGTGTAGTGAGTTCTTCATTCAAAATTCACCCCTAATGTGTATAATATTTCAGTGCGTACAGAATATGGTCCATACAAGATCATGAACCATCCAGAAGCCTTCGATGGCAAGCCAACTATTTCTGCAATCAAATCACAGATCGCCGAGACTGATCTCAGCACCCAACCTAGCAATTATTTCTATTAATTTTCATGATTTTTGTTTCCAGTTACTTTGTTTCTGTTTCTCTTGATATGTGTACCGCATTTAAACAGGTCCTCTTGAAAGGAGGTCTCTTGTAATTAAGATTTATTATCTCAAAATAAAAATGGGTAATAGATCAAAACTACGATAGTTTGTACAGTTTCTCGATCCTTTGAAAATATCTTCAACAAAATTAGAAAATTTTGAAAATTGCGAAATATTTCCACAGAAAATGGGCGGATGGAAGTTGGAAACCGGTCGATTTCTGATGCTCATCACTTTCCCAGTCGGCGCGTTTTGGCTTTTCAATCAGCCAACGATTTTCAAAGAATTCGTAATAAAAAATTTAAACTATTCAATCGATTTGATTATCGATTTGTTCAGATGAGAGGCTACAGAATCCCGGACAGTAGTCAGGGCGACAAAGCGATGGCTGAATTCAAAGAGCAATTGTTGGCGAATAAACGAAAAGAAGAGTACGAGGCGTTCCTTCGCGAGCAGATGGCGTTCGAGGAGGCCAAGAAACTTCGGGCAGCTAATAAAATCTGAAAATTCGTTTCTTTCTTTTAGTGATTTTGTCTGTTATTCTCTTTGTTAGTGTACAAATACAGTGATTTCCACTTTTTTCTCTTGATTCCTCCGTCGAAAAGCTTTGATTCTCGCTATTTATACTTTTGGTTTCTATTAAATATAAGTTTTTCTTAAATTTCCAAGTATGTTTTCAGCATAAAATGGGAAAAAAGCAACAATCTTCGAAAGGAGGCGTCGCTGGGCGACAAAATGCGATGTCAGCGAAAAACGAGATTAGCTTGGCGGATACGTTGAGAAAAGGTGAATTTTTTTCAAATTTGTCCTATAATCTGTTTTGGCTTAAATGTAGTCTGAAATGGCTCAAAATCGATCTAATATGGCTTAAGTTGGTCTAAAATCTGAATAAAATAGCTCAATTTCGTCTAAAATCGGTCTGAAATTGCATAGATTTCTCCTAAAATCTATTTTAAAAAGCTTAAATTCGGCCTAAAATTGGTCTAAAAAGGTCTGAATTTGGTCTAAGCCATTCCATAGTTTAGGATCACGAAAGATCCAATTTCGACCGTCTCTGACCATTTCAGACCCTTCTTTTCGTCTTTTTTCACCGAAGTTATTTTTCCAGGTCGCCACGAATGTCTGTGCCAAGCTCGTACCCACAAATTGGTCCTAAACTGTCTGGGATGTGGTCGAATCGTTTGTGAACAAGAAGGCAGTGGCCCTTGTTTCACTTGTGGAACTCTAGTATGCACTCGAGAAGAACGAGAAACCCTAAATCGAGGAAGCAATAAAAGCAAGGAACTGCTAGCCAAGTTAACAGCAAACGGAGGAGATATCGGATCACTGAAACAGATATCAACGTCGTATCAGAATGCGACAGAGTTTCGGAATAAGTTGTTAGAGGCAGATGCGGATACGTAAGACAATTTCAGAGAATCTCTAAAAAAGTTTTTCAGAGAGCGTCGAACGAAAGTGAACGATTTGCAAAGTGATTACAGTACCATTGAGAACAGCCCATTTTTAAGTGCTGCCGATCGAGAGGCATTGAAATTGAGGCGAGAAGAATTGAGAGCTCTTCGCGAGAAGGAACGCAAGAAATTCGTTGTTAGTTTGGATTTCGATGGAGGCGTTGTGCAAGAAATGACGAGGAGGAATGGAGTCGATGGATTGCAGGATAAGAATGATCCAGTGATTCAGAGGATTATGGAGAGGTGATAGACGGTTACTGAGCTTGGAGTTCTGGATTTCCCCTGTTTTTCAGAGTCGATGAGAAGCATCGAATCCAGGAAGCCCTGCACAACAGTGCCGTCGATGCTCGATGGAATCCGATTGGATTTGTGCCGAGGGTAAGTTTCAGGATATTCGGAATGGTCTTTTCGGAATTTTTCGGAATGTCGAAATTTCGAAATTCCGGAACTCCGGAATATTTCAAATTTTAATTTTTCCATACTTGTAATCCGGGCCTTTGCCGGGCCTTCGCGGGCTCTGCCATAACTTCTTTCAGAATCAATGTTTTCGAACAAACTCAATCAGACGTGATAGAGCTCTACGAGTACTACAAAACGGTATTATTTGGAATACTGTATCTTGTCTATGAACAGAGTTACAGAGCAAAAGGAGCGAAAAAAAGCAGGCCCGGCCCGGGCCTGCCGGGCCCTGCGAGAAAAGCCATTTTATGATCTGTAACTTTGTTCATAGATAAGATACAGTATTCCAAATAATACCTTTTTGAAGCACTCGTGGAGCTCTATCATATCTGATTAAGTTGGTTAGAAAATATTGATTCTGAAGAAATTATGACAGAGCCCGCGAAGGCCCGGCAAAGGCCCGGATTACAAGTATGAATTTTTCGAAATTTCCGGAAGAATCCGATTTTTCAAAACATTGGGATTTCGGAAATCGGGATTTTCGAATATTCAAATTTTTAAAATTTCCAGAATTTGAAATTTTTGGAATCTCCTTGATATTCTGATTTTGAAATTTTCGAAATTTTTGAGAATTTTGAATTTTCGGAATTTTTCAGAAAATTGTAAGATCTGATTTTAAAACCTCGGAATTTCGGAGTATTCTGATTTTCAACATGCCGGAATATTCCAATTTTGAAAAATTCTTAATTTTCCGATTTTCAGATTTTAAAGAATATTTCGATTTTGAAATCTTGAAATTTTCGGAATTCCGACATATTCCAATTTTTCAAAATTCCGGAATATTCCGATTTTTTAAAATTCTTAATTTTCTAAATTTGAAAATATCGGAATTCCGGAATATTCCAAATGCAAATTTTGAACCTATGGAATCTCCGGAACATTCCGATTTTGCAAATTTCAGAGTTGCCCGATTTTGCAAATATCGGAATATTCTGAAGTAAATCCCGCTATCCGGTCACAAAAATTGGATAGAAAATGAAAAATTGAATTCAGAAACGCAAAAAAAATTTAAATAAGAGTAATTCCGCTCGAGACCAGAAAGGAAGCTTCCCACCTGCGCCTTTGATATACTGTAGTCAAAAAAGCTTCAATTCCATAAGACAACTTCGAAAATATTCCGAAAACAATCGGAATTTTAGCATCCCTTCACTTCTTCTAACTAGCTTTGAAATATTCTAATTTCCAGTACCTCGCCGAAGACGGTGCTCAACATCCTGCCGAACAAAAAGAATGCAGCGATGGAGACATCATCGATGCCGACAGTTTGATGATCGTCAGTGATGAATTGGCTGCTCAGATAACCGAAGAAAAAGGATATGTGATTTCGCTATCCCAGCCAACAGCCACTTTTATCGTTCACGGTTTGTGTCGATTTTTGAAATGGCCAACAGATTTGAATCTCAAAGGACCACTGTTCATCACTGCTAAACCAGGAAGTACAAATGAAAAGGGAATTAAGGAGTTCGCGAAAAAGTTTGTAAGAGGTATTTTTCGAAAAATTACAGTCAAAGAAATATTTTTTAAAAAACCATTCTTCAGATGCCAAAAAGATGAGCGAACTGGATTTCGCCGATGGTGCCGTCTTGGGAAGAGCCTTCCTTCAAGAGTGCATGATGCTCGACGATTTTTACGACAAGTACGGTAGCAAGTCAGCAATACCCGGCGACGGAAATTTCGTGTTGTGTTTCAACGCATTCGAGCCGTTGGTATCTTCAATTCCACATATTTCTACTAGCGAATCGGATATTTATGAAATGGATCGACAGTTGAAACGGTCATTGACAAAGTGGTGATAAGATTCCTATTGGGGTTCATAAAATGTGTCTTTATTAAAACCTGATTTTGAATGAATGATATCTATTATAAATTTTAAAAAACAATTTACAAATTAGCTCCTTTCTTTTCAATCTTCTTCTCTCCAATCCATTTGAAAGTCTCAAAGTATGGATTCTCAACCACCCCATCCTTAATCAACTTCTTCAAAACCAACTTCACATTGTTCAACGCCGCCAATCTCACCGCCCACGGAGAATCGCTGTACACTTGATTCGTCACATCCATACTCGTAATCTCTTCATGATCCTTGAGAACTGCCACAATTTGTCTCTCTCGAATCATTCGGTGCTCAATATACTCATCAACCTTCTCCCCGACTTTATTGATAACTGGCCCGTGTCCTGGATAGATTCTCGTCGCATCCAGCCCCCGAATCTTCTGAAGTGACGTCATGTAGTCGTGGAGGTCTTCAAACACAGTCGTTCCTTCTCCCAGAATACAGTCTCCACTGAAAAGTGCTCTTTCCTCTTCCAACCACAACGCAAAGTGATCAGCAGTGTGACCTGGTGTAGCGATGAACTTCAATGTGGCACCATCCACTTTCACCTGATGACCATCTTCGACATATGTGAATCTCTCCACACCTTCATCTTTATCCCTCTGCATTTTGTAGATTGGTATCTTCTTGTGATTCAAAATCTCCTCTCGAATATTATCGATTCCTCCGACGTGATCTCCATGCCAATGGGTGATTACAATGTAGGCGATTTGAGAATTCGTGGAGGAGAGCACGGATTTCAGCGCGGAGATGTATCCGGAGATGTTCGGCTCACCAGTGTCGATTAGGATTTTACTGGAAACTTTGTGACGATAAGAAGAAAATTTTACAAAAAGTGATTAGGGCTTCTATTTTGGAAACCGGCGACCGCCGACCGAATGCAAGTTTTAAAAGTGAAACTCACTCGGAACCAGTTCCTAGCAGATACGTGTTGGTTCCCTGGAGAGTGAATGGTCCTGGATTGTGGCCGAGGATTCGGGTGACAGCGTCAGAAAGCTTCTCGATGGGCTCCACGTGGGTTAGGCTCGGCATTGCTCTGGAATTTATGCACACTGAAATGAACGATAGACATGCAGTCAAACATGTTCAATTTTGACTATTTTCGTAAAAGAACTTCAAGCATAAATAAATGAGCGATTTTTGGAAAAAAAACACTTTTTTGAGTTATTTTTTCGGTCGCGAACATTGTTTTTTTTTTGCAATTTAGCTATATAAAATGCGAGCCGAAAAATTTTTTTCAAAAATTATACAGCTCGCAATTCGAAAAATGCTAAATTTCCCGAAATTCTCTCATGTGTGACTTCAAATGAGAGCTAATTTCTGCCCCTATTTTCTTATTCTTCCCCTTGAAATGTACTGAAAAGTGATCAATAATCGTTCTCTCCTTTTCTTTTTACGCTATCTCTTCGTGTTTTCGGAACAGTGTAGACTACACGGAAACACGGAAATGACGATGTTTGTCTGATGACACACACACACACACACACACAAACAGAAGTCATAAACAATTTCTGTGATTTCAAAGGTAAAATGGTGTTTAAAAAAATCCTTTTCATTAAAAAGTGCTAAAATTGAAACTACAAGACACACCAACTGATTGCTGATAACACAGTCTATCAAAATTTCATCAGCAGAACAAAAACAAACCGATGAGCTTTCGAATTGACGAGATAGGCGACACCGGCGTATGCGAAATCCGTGTAGAATCGAAGCATCGACCACGCTCGTCCAACGTACGCCGTCATCGCTCTGAATTCGTTATTTCGATGATACAGATCTCTTTTCGAGGACTTCAGCGACGATGTGAAACGTTCGATAAGAAGTACAAAATAGGCCATGTGTACTATAGAAAAAGCAACAAGAATATGAAAAATATTTGTCGATTTTTTTAAATTTCAGCAACAAAGTTTTAAAATTTAAAAGAGCAAATTTGAGGCTCAAAACCAGGATAAAAGGGGTGAATGGAATGACGAAAGAACTGGGAAATGGGCTACAAATTTTTACAAATAAATATGTTCGAAAATGATAATGATGAGGCTAGAGTGTGGCAATAGAAATACAACAAAAACATGAGTAAAAATGTGTTGAAGGAGGAGCGGAGACATAATAACTAGATTGTACTGATTCTCAAAGTTTCAAATCGGCGAAAACAGGGAGTTTTCTCGGGTTTTTGTGAAAATGCGCTCAAGCGCAAATAACCGTAATACCACAGTAAAATTAGCGTTGGTATCGACGCAAAAGCTTTAAATTGAACTGCACCGTGCGGCAATAAACAAAAGAGCGAAAAACGAATCTGTTAAAATGCATTCTGCTCTTAAAAACTACGAATTTACATTAATACCGACTCGAAAAATAGGAGTTTCGGGTCTCGAAACGAAAACTACCGTAGCCTAAAAATAATTTAAATTTACGGAATTTTTCGCTCGATTTTTGTTGCTTTCCTGCGATTTTCCAAAAAGGACAATGCCGGAAAAAAAGCGAGCAAAAAGACAGAAAACCTTATTATTTTCTCTGGAAAACGGCATTTTGAATGGAAAAGTTGTGATTCATTCTACAGAAGACTTCATGTTCGTGGCGAAGACGTTCACATCGGAGTTCGTCAGCTCGAGATAGAGTGCCGGATCTTTTGAGAAGTTTTAGCTCGTCTTCTTTCTCACTGAAAAAAAAGGATTTTTAATTATTTAATTGAACGAGTTTTTTATTGTCAACGCCGTTGACTACAGGTCCCAGGACGAAAACTACCGTAATCCAAGAAAAAACTCACTTCACGAAAGATTCGAACCAATTCAAATTATCGTAAGCATCCCATCCGTCCATAACATGCAACAGAAACGCACATCCAGCTCCGAGTCCATCATCACAAACCACTAAATTTCTGTGCTGATTCAAAGCGAACACCTTCTTAATTCGATTCTCATGAGCAGTGGAATAATTCATTTGGGACAAAAACAACGCTGGAAGAACTCCATGGAAGTAGTCGAGAACTTCGATTCGTTCTTGACTCAAACTATTGTTTAGAAGCAGCGATTTGAACTCGAGAATCATAAGACCAACGAAATCTCCTTGATTTGAAATTCGTTCGAACATGTTTTTGATTAAGCCTAGACGATAGGCACTTTTATCAGAAGGGATCCCCGAAGAAGATTCTAAATCTTCCATGTGTTTTTTGATGGATGGAAACAATTCCAAATGATCGATTTCATTCTCCTCGGCAGCTTGGCACAACAATCTGATGAATGAGATGGCATTTCCGATTTGGGTAATAATCTGACGGAATTTGTCAAAATGTGTCGCATGAATCTGATCCGTAGATCCATCATCCGTCATTTCCCCAAATTCACTTGGTGTTGGTGTCGTAGATAATACTCCTTTTGTTCTGTTCTGTTGTCCGAGAGCCTGGACAACAGACTCCGCCCATTCCACTTTGTACATTGCCGATTTTTTGGTTTCATTTTCCTCCATCTTCTGAAGATATTTGAGAACTTGATGACGGACAGTGTCTTCTGCAAGAAAACTGAAGACGGTTTGCATCTTGTGACGAATCAGTTGATAAGCCGCGTTCACTGCAGTTGGTACTATTCCAATTCCATGTTGCCGTAGGGCCTTTCCCAGATCCTCTAGACGAATAAGTCGAAGTTGTTTGGCAACGGATGACTTCTCAATGAACATTTGATTCTGCATACTAAGACAGTAATTGGCAACAAAGTGAGGGAAATTTCGAAGAAGATCCATCAACACCACACTTTCATCAATGCCAACTTGAGGGAGTTGAGTATCAAGCATTTTCATTCCGTATCTGAAAAAAGGAAGGTTGGAAGAATCCAGTCTAGAAATTTATTAATCCTACTTCATCTCCGCTAATTGAAACATTTGTGTGTACATCTTGGCATTGTGTGGAGCTAAAGTTTCTAATTGATACCACATAGCCTGCAGAAGTTCTGGCATTTCATCAGCGATCGAAATGACATAATCCGCCAGTTGCAATCGTTTAATGTTCCTGAGCAAGTATTCCACATAGAGCTGCTCTTGTTCTGGTATTCTACTCCGCTCGCTGGAATTTTTATTCATAGAATTTACATACCGTAAAACCTGTAATGGAAGGTCCTCCATACTGTCAAGTTTGACCTAATTTATCTAGGTTCATGTGAAAGATATCAAAAAGTTTTCAACTGATAAAATGTTTGTGATATTATGATAAACAATTTATCAGTTGACAACTTTTTTTTATATCTTTGAAAGGAACCGAGATAAATGATCTTAAAGGTGGTGTACGGTGAAATTTGTATTGCATCAAAATGTGCAGAAATGCATGTAGATTGGCATAAAACTAAAGAAAATATTCAAAAAAAAATTCCTTCATCGAGAAAAACGCATCGAAAAATACGCTGAAAGCCCTTAGGGACAAGGTTTTTTCTAGGCCGCCCAGTGAGTAAAAGCGCGCGAATTCAAACTTTTAAAGTTTTTTCGCTCGTTTTCACTTTTTTTTTTCGGTTTTTTCAAGAGTTTTCTAGGTTTTTGTCAATTTTTCTTCC